CCTATTTCATTTTTGTCCTGGCCATTTCTCCTAAACTACATTGTGCACAAGGCGACACATCCGACTCGCGAGTTCTAGAAAAATTTTTAAAAAAAAAAAAAAAAAATTTTAAAAAATTTTTTAAAAAAAAAAAAAACCCCAAAAATTTTTTTTTTTTTTTTTTTTTTTAAAAATTTTTTTAAAAAAAAATTTTTTAAAAAGGAAAAAAAAAATTTTTTTTTTTATAATTTTTAAAAAAAAAAAAAAACCAAACCCCCTTTTTTTTTCAAAACCCCTTTTAAAATTTTTTTAAAAATTTTTTTTTAAAAAAATTTTTAAAAAAAAAAATTTTTAAAAAAAAAATTTTTTTTTTTTAAAAAAAAAAAACCCCAAAAAAAAAAACGTTTGGAAAAATTTTTTCCCAAAAAAAAAAAAGGGGAAAAAGGAAAAAAAAAAAACCCTTTTTTAAAAAAAAATTTTCCCCCGGGGGGAAAAAAAAATTTTTCCTTTTTTTTTAAAAATTTTTTTTTTTTTTTTAATAATTTTTAATTTCCCCCAAAAAAAAAAATTTTTTTTAAAAGGAAAATTTTTTTTCCCCCCCAAAATTTTTTAAAAAACCCCTTTTTGTAATTTTTTTTTTTTTTGGGGGGTTTTAAAAAAACCCCCCCTTTGGGAAAATTTTTTTTTAAAAAGGGGAAAAAAATTTTAAAAAATTTTTTTGTTTTTTTAAAATTTTTTTTAAAAAAAACCTTTTTTTTTTTCCTTTTCCCCCCAAATTTTGGGTTTTTTAAAAAAAATTTTTTAAAAGAAATTTTCCCAAAAAAAATTTTTCCCCCGGGGAAAGGGGGTTTTTTTTTTTTTAAAAAACCCTTTTTTTAAAAAAGGAAAACCCCAGGGGAAAAAATTTTTAAATTTTTTTTAAAACCCCTTTTTTTGGAAAAAATTTTAAAATTTTTCCCCCAAAATTTTCCCCAAAAAAAAAAAACCCCCCCAAAAAAAAAAAAATTTTTTAAAAAAAAAAAAAAAAAAATTTTAATTTTAAAAACCCCTTTTTTAAAAAGGAAAAACCCCCCCCAAAAAATTTAAAAAAAAAAAATTTTTTGGAAATTTCCCTTAAGGGTTTTTAAAAATTAAAAAAATTTTTTTTAAAAGGTAAAAGGGAAAAAAAAAAGGGAAGGGTTTTTTCCCCCTTTTCTTTAAAAAATTTTTGGGGTGTTTTGGGGGGGCCCCCCCCTTTAAAAAAAAATTTTGCCCAAAAGGGGAAAAAAAAAAATTTTTTTTTTTTTTAAAAAAAAATTTAAAAAACTTTTTGGGGAAAAAAAACCAAATTTTTTTGGGAAAAGGGCCCCTAAAAGGGGGGGGTTTTTCCCCTTTTTGGGGTTTTTTTAAAAAAAACCCCTTTGGGGGTTTTTTTTTTTTTTAATTTTTGGGGGCCCCTTTTTTTTAAAATTTTTAAATTTTTTTTTAAAAACCCCGGGTTTTTCCTTTGGGGCCGGGTTTGGGTTCCCTTTTTCCCAAAAAAAGGGGGGGGCCCCAATTTTCCCCGGGGGGGGGCCCTTTTTATTAAAGGGGTTTTTTTTTTTTGGGGGGGTTTTTTTTTTCCGGTTTCCCTTTTCCCCCCAAAAAAAAATTTTTTTTTTTTTAAGGGAAAAAAAAAGGGAAAATAAAGGGGTTTTTTTTTTAAAAAAAATTTTTTAAAATTTAAAATTTTTTTAAAAAAAAAAATTTTTTTTTTAAAAAAAAAAACCCCCGGGGGTTTTTTTTTCCCCCCAAAGGTTTTGGGGGAATTGGAATTTTTTTCCCCCCCTTGGGGTTTTAAAAAAAAAAAGGGGGGGAAAAAAAAAAAAAATTTAAATTTTCAAAAACCCGGTTTTTTTAAAAAAAAAAGGGGTTTTTTTTAAAAAAAAAAATTTTTTTTTTTCCCCCCCTTTTTTTTTAAAAAAAACCCTTTAAAAAAAAAAGGGGGTTTTTTTGGGGGGAAGGGGTTTTTTCCTTTTTTTGGGGGCCCCCCAAAAAAAATTTGGGGACGAAAGGGGGGTTTTTTGGGGGTTTTTTTAATTTAAAAATTTTTTTAAAAAAAAGGCCCATTTTTTAAAATTTGGGGGTTTTTTGGGAAAAAAAAAACCCCCCCGGGGGGGGGGGGCCCTTTTTTAAAAAAAAGGGGGAAAAAAAAATTTTTCAAATTTTTTTGGGGGTTTTTTGGGGAAAAAAATTTTTTAAAAAAATTTTTTTCCCCCCCCTTTTAAAAAAAAATTTTTTTTAAAAAATTTAAAAACCCCGGGAAAAAAAAAGGGGGGGAAAAATTTTTTCCGGCCCAAACCCCCCTTTTTTAAAAAAAAAAATTTTTTTTTTAAAAATTTTTCTTTTTAAAAAAAAAAATTTTTAAACCCGGGTTTCCCTTTTTTTTAATTTTTTTTTCCCCAAAAAAAAAAAATTTTTTTTGGGGGAAGTTTTTAAAAAAATTAAACCCCAAAAAATTTTTTTTGAAAAAAACTTTTTTTAAAAAAAAAAAAACCCTTTTTTTAAAAATTTTTTAAAAAATTTTTTGGAAAAATTTTTGGGGCCCTTTTTAAAAAAAAAACCCCCCTTTTTTTGAAAAAATTTTTTTTTTTAAAAAAAATTTTTTTTAAAAAAAAAAAACAAATTAAAAAAATTTTTTTTAAAATTTTTTTTTGGGGGTTTTTTTTTTTTTGGGTTTTTTTTTCCCCTTTTTTTTCGGGCCCCCCCTTTTTTTTTTTTGGGGTTTTTTTTTTTTTTTTAAAAAAAGGGGGGGAAAAAAACCCCCAAGGGGGAAAGGGGGGGGCCCCCCAAAAAAAAAAGGTTTTGGGGGGTTTTAAAAAATTTTTTTTTTTTGGCCCCAAAAAAATTTTTTTGGGGAATCTTTTGTTTACGACGATGGTGCTAATATGTTCAGGCACTGTAATTTCAATAATCGCTTCCCGAATGCCCGGTTCACTCTTAACAGCATATACAGTGGATGAACATTCATTTTCTGGTTTTGGAAGAGGGGACTCCACTAGTGGGGGCGGAGGTGGAGTTTCTAAGCGGTTACTGGACTGCGGTTGCAACGCTAAGGAAATGCTTTAAGGCTTCAGAGGGCCGTTTATAACCTCTCACAGCTGTGCTTTCTTTTTTCATTGTGTCCCATTTTATACCAAAATGTAAATATCTGTAAGAAAAACATGCAATAGTGTGAATATTATTGCTGTTTTGTGTTTTAAAACATTACATAACCTTTGGTGAAAATGATAATGATCATATGACATCTGTGTAGCCAAGGGGACAATTCCTCAGTGCATAAACCAGTAAACTGCTGTGATATGGTCTGTGGAGTTGTCTCTCTAAGAGGAAAAATAAAACATATAGTCTCCTGTAATTCTATTTAGAATGGATTTCCATGTATTTTATGTTTGTGTTTTATGTTTTACATAATTATAATTTTATGTATACATGTAAAGATGAGACTGAAATAAAGAAATAAATGGTACAAAAGTATAATTACAAGTAGAATTACCAGCATATCACTTGCCTTTCAAGCCTCGGTGGCAAACATTACTCAACATATTGTTCCTCTTTTCTTTACACTCGAACCATTAAACTGATATTTTCATATATTTATGATAATACAATCATTTTGCTATTCGGCGACTTGATGCTTAAGCATCAAAATCTCTGATTGTCTCCATTTGAAGTTGTTTTCGTGCTGGTACAATATTTGAAATTGGAAATATAAAGGGAGGTAACCGGAATTAAAATAACGTTAAACACACGCAACAGTATCGCGCCATTATATTGATTGTATTTTAGATGAATGTAAGTTAATGCCACAGCGTAATCTGAAAATATTTAATATGCCGCATGTATAAGATCACGCTATTACTTAGTGGTAGCTCAATTGTTGTAAATGATGGAATCTCTTAAGAAACGTGCAACATGTTTTGTGTTACTTGAATATACATGCAGGTCAGGCTCTCGCATTGTTACATGGCCAGCGATTGTCTAAAAAGGTGCAGGGAAAATTATAAGATTTATTGAGACATCAGACGATGTGGATGAAAAGGTATTATGTATAAGTATAAAAACTATTTTAGAAACAAACAAAACAGTTTTCTGAGAGAAAAAAAGAAGTATTTTGTAAGTCTGTAGGATAATTTGTTTCTGATATTTACACTTTAAAAATATATGTCAGTTTTGTGATCAGCAGTGAGTTACAGTGGAAATGGGGGTGGGTCGGGGATAGTAATCCTCTTTGAAGTGAATTTGCAAAAAAGTTTAGATGCCTACCCCTATATAACGGGATGAGTTTTATATGTCAAGCATATCATTTCCCCAGAAAAATCACATCTCTATGTTGAAAACGCAATTTTAAGGTCTGTTTTTGGGTCATTTCTTATAATGTAAGTCCATTTAAAATTAATGCGAGTGTTTGACCTGTACATATAATATCGTTACATTTAATTATGCTTTATACATAAAATATAAAACATGCGAATACTTGTACTTAACATTTTCATTCATATGTTAAGGCTACATTTTCAAAACAATTATGACAAATCAGGGTTTCCGGTTAAAATGCCATTTATCTGACACAGATGTATCTCATAGCGGGGTAGTATTATAATATTTCCGGGTAATAAGTCCAGGTATCATGAACACACTCACTTTCAAGACAGTGGTGGGCAGACGGCTTTCAATGTACGCATCCCCCCCCCAAAAAAAATAAACCAAACAAACAAAAAACTTAGCAACACAGGACCACCGACAAGAGGGCTGAGGAGGTGATGGGGACAGTTTTTCCAGCTTTCTAAAATCGAAATATAAATCTCAATGGAAATTTATTTCCTCAATTTTATGACAACCCTCATAATTTTGTTACATGTCTTATCTGCTTATAACAGTTAACATGAATTTGTTTTATTGTTATCTTTTTCTACAGCCAACATAATTTTGTTAACTGTTTATCTGCTTATTACAGCCAACACACATTAGTTTTATGCTAGTACCATTGTTATTTATCAGTTTATTATCCAAAACAAAACAAACCATTCTATTTATAAATGATATTTTGCTAAGATATAACTATGTTCTATCATATCTAAAATTTGAAAGTTTATACAATATACATTTCATGAAAATCTCGACTTGAAAGTTTTATGCAATAAAAATTAACCCTGTATCTAAGAATGAACATATGTCAGAATCTTCAAAATAATCTGATAACATGTGTTAATTATTTAAAACTTAGATATAAACATTTATGTATCATGATACTGCATTTCATGGACGAAACGGACCTCAGAGCATTATTTTTGCGACACAAGTTCTAGAAAGTACGAATACTACTTGTTACGTATAAATTACAAAACTTGTCTTTTTAAATGACCACTAAAGGAAGTCCATGATTCTACACGCTTGGATATTGGATGGCTGCAGTTAGCTATTGTGACTACATCTCCAAACCTTCAGATTTAAATAAACCGATGTTGAAACTCCATAACTTCCGTTGTCCGCACCATATGGCCCGTTCTGAGGATCTATGTAAGCTCTCACTTTAGTTGATCCGTTCAGATTGATGTAACATCCGACATAGCTGTAATCAGATGACCGAATCTTGAAGATGTGTAAGGACAAGTAGTAGAGCCCGCTAACAGGACATGTGAACTTGCCAGTCGATGTATCAAACCCGTTCCCGTCGTTTGTAATTACTGTTGTGAAAGATAAAGATGTTGATGAAGCTGCCTTAGGTGAGGTCACTGTGAAAGCCACAACTTTCCCTAAAAATAGACAGAATTTTAAGAATGAAGGTTTTAAAACTGATAAAAAGATACATTTAGATGAATGTTTTCTTGAAACATATTATGATACCGGTACATTTCAGACAAAATATTTATGTTGATCTTATAATGCAAAAGATGCATATAATTTGACTTGATGGTAATGATTAAGCGACATGTACTTTTTATATTTTTAAAGTTATATTATCACAAATATTTCTTTGTTTGCCATAATCACAACGTTGCCTTAATCACGTGACTTTTATAATCTGCGTGCGACTGAAAAAAATGCAAAAAACGATTCAGGCAGTATTAACTTTTCAGGAATAATTCTGAGTAATAGTCATGTCTTAGAAAATGTGACCGCCTGTTTGAATCTCAGAAATTCACAAGGTCTCACTTTACAGAAGATATTATTTGTTCCCAAGAAACATGTATGTAGGGTTAAATAACTAGAATAAGCGGACTCTAAAATTTATTCCATATGAGATAATTAAACATGAAAAAATTCATGATGGAAAATACTTCCGTCTTTTGTACTGATTTTCTGCTACCTACATTACACGATTTAGACACCGTGATCATAATTATTTATAGATTATTCATAATGATTTAGATAAAATCCGTATTTAGCCAATCAGTTTGTAAGAAGACGTAAACGTTATACCTCAAGAGGCCGTATACAGTTTCACTTGGCAAGTTTTAAATGTGCCATTGTCAAATTTTCACATGAGAGACAGTTTTGAAATTGAAGTGGACATATTGTAGTGGTGTTAGCCATGCATTTTGAGGGAGTATCTGTTGGATTCGAATATATGATTCAAAATTTAAGGGTATACTAAACAGAATACTTAAATTCGTGTAAAAAGGAGCTCTAGGACACCATGTTTTCATGATGTTTTTCAGATTGTATAGCTTGAGACGGAAAGCTTAATAAAGAATATGATATATACATCGGCCTTAATGTTTCTCACGCCCGTTTAACTAACAACGAGTGAAAAATGTCCATCGGTTAAAATGTTGTGAGCAATTTCCGTTCCTCGTTGTGAGCACCCATCTTTGACGTGTGACACGATAAACAAGGTGAGTTTTTCATAATTTTTGAAGATTACAGACATTTATGTAAAAATATCGAAATGCAGTTAGCTAGCGATGTGTTTTCCAGGTATGCACATGTAAAGATATTGCCTGTTGGTGGACAATTTGATGGAAATACCGTGCGACGCAGCCACTCGGAGTAGCAGAAAAAACTGGAGACAACTTCTCTTTGGACCTAATGTAACATTGAAAACGTCGATTCTAGGGTAGTTTTGTGCATTCTAACATAAAACAGATGCCCACAAGTCTTCAGCGTAAATTATTATCTGTAAGTCTTCATAGAAACGAAGATATACCCTTTTTTGCTTTAATCCTCGTTGTGAGCACCATAACCTCGTTGTAAGCAAGACAAGCGCAGTGCGTGTATGGTTTTAATATGTAATTCAGATGGTGAAAATATAATTTCCAATCTACCACAGCAATAAAAACGTTTTTGCACAGCAGCATTTCTTTGCAAGACGTTGTGCATAGTCCAAATGGAGGCATATTAGTTTTGAACTGTCCGTCTGTCAGTCCGTCAATCTGTCCGAAAACTTTAACATTGGCCATAACTTCCTTATTAGTGAACGGACTTGATTCATATGTGAACACAACATCCCTTAGCACAACACCGTCCTACAGACCTGTGTTTTTTTACCTTGGCCCCCGAATGGCCTTTACCTTGAAGGTCAAATTGTCCAAAAACATTAAAGATTGGCCATAATGTCCTGGCACAATGTTTAGGCACAACACATCTTTGGACAAGGCCTTTCAGCTATCCTATACCCTTTTGACCGTAACCGCAGAATGATCTTCATCTTGAAGGTCAAATTGTCCAGAAACTTAAAAATTTGTCATAACTTCCTTATTAGCATACGGATTCTACTCATACTTTGAAACAACACCCCTTTAGGCAAGACCTTCAAACTGATCTCTTTTTGTGTTTTTTTACCTTGTACCCTGTACGTATTTGGACACAATACCCCTTTGGACAAGACCTTCAAACTGAACTATATTTATTTCACCTTGACCTTGAATGACCTTCACATTGAAGATCTAATTGTCCAAAAACAAATAATCTATCTGGTCCATAAATCAAAGGACAAAGCACCACTTCAGGGGCATTGTCAACTTCCTGTGATAGTTCTTGTTTTACATAACTTGGTCAGTCTTCAGCTCAGGATAAACACCTGTATGTGTGTATCACACAGATTGTGAAATTGTTAAAATATTCCTAAACACCCCGTGATGTTCACTCGTGCCACACTAAATAAAACACCTGATTTACCTCCACTGATTAGTTCTTCCGTTAATCTGATGACTTGTGAATATGAAGAATAATTTTCAAAAAAAGAAAAAGAAGAACTATTGCAAAGAAAAACTATTGTACAAAAACGTTTTGGTTGCTTTTGGTAGATTGAAAATTGTATTCTTGCCATTTGAAATACATATTAAAACCATACACGCACTGGGCTTGTCTTGCTCACAACGAGGTTATGGTGCTCACAACGAGGATTAAAGCATAAAAAGGTATATCTTCGTTTCTATGATGACTTTCAGATAATAATTTTCGCTGAAGACTTGTGGGCATCTGTTTAAGGTAAGAATGCACAAAACGTCACCAGAATCGACGTTTTCAATGTTACATTAGGTCCAAAAAGAAGTTGTCTCCAGTTTTCCTGCTACCCCGAGTGACTGCGTCGCACGGTATTTCCATCAAATTGTCCACCAACAGGCAATATCTTTACATGTGCATACTCAGAAAACACATCGCTAGCTAACTGCATTTCGATATTTTTACATAAATGTCTGTAATCTTCAAAAATTATGAAAAACTCACCTTGTTTATCGTGTCACACGTCAAAGATGGGTGCTCACAACGAGGAACGGAAGTTGCTCACAACATTTTAACCGATGGACATTTTTCACTCGTTGTGAGTTAAACGGGCGTGTTTCTGTAGGACTTCAGTGACACGAGACTTTGGCTGTTTGTATTGTTTTCGCAATTAATAATGGGTTTTAGGAGAATATTGGAGATGACCCTTCTGTATTGTGACAAACAGCATACACTATGTTTGTACAATTCTTATCTTTATGTTGATATCCCAAATAGTGGTATTCAAATTAAGACGAAGTAGGTCGAATATTTCGGGTCAAAAAAGTTAACCGGGTACCGTTTAAGTATGGTTTCGTTTTTTTCTGGATACCTCAGACAATTGTTTGTTTGTTTGTTTGTTTGATTTTACGCCTTTTTCCAACAGTATTTCAGTCATATAGGCGGGTAGTTTCCTAACCATCGTTCCTGGAGAGTTACACCAGTACAAGACTACCTTCCTCCGCGCTAAACTTCCAAAGCATCTCCCGGGGATCGAACCCACGCCAGAGAGGTAACTGGATTAGAAGTCATCGACTCTAACCCCTCGACCACGGAGGCGGTGTCTCAGGAAATTGGTGGCATCAATATTTTCCTAATTGATTGTTGTACTAAAAACATGGCAAGAAAATATAACGAATTCTTGTCGATATTTTCACTATAATAATAAATTGAATTCACCTCTATATGAAGTAAGCTACCTATAAATAGAAATATATATATATATATATACATATAAACATATATAAATAAAAAGTCGTTTGTAATTTCCGTTGATCCAACCATAAATAAGTCAAAGAAAGAGGCAGACACAATGATATACCGAACGGAGAACGTTTATGTACAAGTTGTCATGATAACAGAGTTCCATGCTTTCTTTATAATTATATCAAATATAATATCATATTCGCGATAATTATTGATTCATTTGATAATTTGGCGGAAAAGAACCGCATGTGTTTTATGTATATCTTTTTATGGACGGACAATATAAACAATAAGTGTTTGTTTACAATTATAAATATTATTAAGGCGACGGAACCATATTAAAAATTGGTTTATGTATAAAAGGCCGGACAATTATAAATATTATTAAGCCGACAAAAACCATATTTAAAATTGGTGTATGTATAAAAGGCCGGATGCTTTAGAACACACAGAAATTGCATATAAATATTTAATATAAACATATTATTTTTTCAGCATTTGTTTTTTTTGTAGAATTTGCTAAGCAAGGCCATGTATACTACGACAATATCACTTACTTACAGTAAAAAAAATAATGTGATATGCATTTCTGTAATACTTTCTGTGAAACTGACCTTTCATTCTCTCGTTTATATCTTTATGAACGTTTTCAAACTCCATCTTAGAATTCGCCACACTTTCGAGCATTTCTGACGTTACATTTTTCTGTCGTTCAACTTCTTCCGCATTTTTTGTTTGTATTTCTTCAACTCTGTGAGAAACAACTTAGAACGTTCCTCTAATTCCTTTTCTTCTCTTGTCTTTACCTCATTAATAAGCCTCTGAAAGTTTTTAACTTTCTCTAACTCTGCAGTAAACAATTTATCGCGTTCCTCATTTCCCTGGCTTCTCGCGCCTTTGCTCCGTTATTAAACTCTTTAACTTTCTCTAACTCTGCGGCAAACAATTCATCGCGTTCATCCTTTTCCTTTGCTTGTCGTGCCTTTATTCCGTTAATAAAATCCTCAAATTTCTGAACTTTGTCTTCGAATCTTAATTGTTTCATTAACACATTGATTATATAAAATATGATATTATATTTGATATAATTATAAAGAAAGCATGGAACTCTGTTATCATGACAATATCTTAATTTTTTAACACATAAGTTAAGTATGTAATATTTACATAAAAGTAAGAAATATTACATACCCTACGATTAACGCAAATAAAAGCATATGTCGTGCCTTGAGGGTACCTATGTGTAAAAAATGAGAGGGTGCCTGTGATATAAATCAAAGTGCTGCAGCACTGAATGCGACGGACATGCAACCGGAGAGACATTAAGGCTTTGTTTAGAAAAAAAAACAAAAAAAACCAGAAAATATATAACAGAAAAAAATTGTTCCATACAAGTTCGAGATTTGTAGAGCAATATATTTTGTGTCCCAAACTGATATAATTCAGATTTTCTTCTTTCAAGCATTTAAATACAGAATGAAATTTATGCCTAAAAACTCTGGTCAAACTTGTAAATCAGTGTCCTTATCGATTTATTCCAAGAAATGATATGTAAATAGAACAAAAAACCGTCAACAAATTATTTCTAAAATAAAACCATGCAAATAAACTTCAAGCATAATACACTATACATGTGAGAATGCTATCATAGTGGGCATATAGACAATAAAATATAAGTCATTTGTATTTTTATTTCTCTTGGATATGTCTCATTAAAAATATTTTTGGTTAAAATCATCAGCAATAAATAGTGTATTATTTATATTTTTTTTTATTTACAAGAAGCCAGAGCACATCGTTTTTATTTTAATTAAAATGTCACCTAAGCACAACAGTGTTTAGTTGTCCTTTTCAATTTCACACTAAATTCCATTTTCAACTTGATTGCTTCTTACAATTGTATAGAATTTCTAAAAGTATTGCATGTAATCCGTTGGTTTATTACATCCCTAATCGCCTGTCCAAAAATCAGCACAGGTGGTGCAGAATCTATTTTTAGAATAGCGAAGGTTAACTCATATCGTGACCTAGAAAAATATGTAAACAAACCACAAGAATCGGAAGTAGAACTGATATATTAACTTCCTTCAATAAAGATTACCATGAAAGACTACATGGTGGTAAAGTGTTGAAAAACTCTCTTTTTACATGCATATTTATACTAACCATTGTTCTGTATCTAATTTATTAATAACTGCTGAATATTCAGCTAAACCCACGGTATGAGTCACAAAAATAGTTCTTCTTTAATAAATACGCGACTTATTCTAGAGTCACGAAAAACTTTTGATTTGTTAATAATAATGTTCTGTATAATGTAGAATTATTTATTTCCTACTAATAATTTCTTGGAACTCAGAGCTTAAACCTTTATTATAGTATAATTTGCTGTCCTACTTTTCGACAGCGGTAAATCGTTTCGGCAGTAATTTGCATATTGCGCATTAATACTACGGGACTACAACGTTTTTCTCAATCATATACGTTCATATTTTAACTTGGATAACTTAATTTGAAATTGAAAAGGATAAATATGGAAGATATTAAGATATCCCGACAAAGTATGGGAGTTTTAAAGGATCAAATTCATGTACTATTTCTTGGGCTGTTAATCGGTTGAGGACACCTTGCGCGATTGTAGCCGACGAAATCCCATGTGTAGATGACTTAGCTCTGAACGCGCCTGAGGGCGCGTCCGTCGCAAAAATCAAATGAAGAGAGGTAGCCCGTGTCACTGCAAAACCGAAAGTAGGGTGTTTTTATGAATTTTAAATTTATTTTTGACAATATACTGCCATTTGTCCGACGATGATATGTAAATGAACATACTTAATATGTATGATGCATATATAATCAAGCCGCAGGTTCATTTCAGCCAGAAAAGTGTGTCGAGATGATGGGCGAAGCAAGACATGTTAATTTTTTTTAGCTTATTGTGAAGTTGCAGTGCATGAAAAACGGGCACATGACAAATCAGCACATAGATAAAACATTCTAGTGTTCCGTGGTATACATCTTTTCTACGTGTCATACCTTCTTTCCTTATTATAATGAAAGTTTACTGGATTGTTATCCATTGCTGGTTTGTTTTTAGCAGAGAGTGGCCTGTGCATGTGCAAAGAGGGTGCCGATTCAGCAGATTTCGCAAAGAGGGTACCGATATGGATATGCACCGTGAGTGTATGCATTGGTATCACATTATCAGTGAATATAAATTCCACACGCTTGTAGTTTGTTCAGTACAAAAGAACTCGTATAAAGAATAAAGATCAATAAGGCAAAGACAACGTTCACAGGACGCAGACCCCGACTACCCCAAGTAGGGCACCCAGAAAGCACCAAACTTAAAAACTTTTCCCAAAAATACATGCAAATCTTGAAGTGCAAATACGCTTCAAGGGATAGAAAAGTCCGTATTATGTATGTGACAAATACGTTACCATATATGGAAGAACAGGACTATTTTTCATGTTCCTTCTGATCTTAGCTGTGTAAAACGTAGCATTTTGAAACGGAAACCAAAATTATTAAAGTCATAGCCGGTTTTGCAAAATTACGTATTATTCATGAATTTATTTCATGACAACTACATTTCATTTTCTGAAATACCTTATAAAAGTTATGTATATTGAAATTCATGTTTTTGCTCAAAACGAAAAGGTATATAATAAAAGGAAGATTATATTGTAGTAGCTTTCTGAGGCTATATATTTTTCTACTTGCAACGTTGGAAAATTGATAAGTCATCCGACCTTCGGCCGCGCGAGATATCTATTTTCCACCGCTGCTCGTAGCAAAATACAAAGCCCCAAAAAGCTACTACAACATAATATTCCGTACGTATTCTAAACATTTGTTATTATATCCTTTTTATCATTTTAAGTCTGCTATGAGTTTGTATGTTTTTCCGAATGCGTGTATGTAAGAATAACGAGTCTAATAGAAATTCAAAATGTGACAGTAATTTGGTGTGCTTCTGATTTTTGTTGTGCCCAAAAAGTTTGCCTATGATTTGACAGGTTTTGAGTTTGAATCACATTTCAGGCAAGCCAAAATATTTGTCTTTTTTCGTTATATTAACATTTCTTTCTCAAAAGATAAGACAAGATATTCATAGATAAAAAGTACGATTGTGTTAAAAACAACCAGAAACAAATATTCATAAATGAAAGTGTAATGCAAGTAAGAAACTTTTCACCAACCCTCCCTATTTCAGTTTCATTTTCTGAGAATTTTTCTAATCATTTTGCCAACGGTTTTAATGGGATTCCAACTGCCATCATGTTTAATTGTAAATTTGGCATAAGTCTTGTTTATCGTTAAAGAATGTAATTAACAAAATCCGAGTGAGATTATCCAGTTGCCTTTCACATTGTACAACCTGTGGCACTAAAATAAATAAGATATAAAACTTTCACCATTTTGAATATTGTATAGAAAATAAGCAAACAATGATAAAGAAAAAATGTGGAATGGATCTGCGTGTAATATATTTGTAAACTTGTAATTTGGTGGTGTTTTATTAAGTATCGGTGCATGTATCATTTTAAAAAATGAAATGTTCGGTTGACAATTCATGTGGAGAATCAAACTTGTAGAGATACATTATGCTACATACTGTAGAGTGTTTATACATTTCTATGGTGTCAGATATCACACTGTTTTTGTTGTAGTTGTATTTTTGTTTGACCTGTATGTAAACTGGTCCGGACCTCTCTAATGATTCAGCAGTGTCGGTTTCCTTTCTTTCTTCTCCTTTCCTTTCATTTTATTATCAGCCATATTCAACACCTCATTTTGAATATGACAATGTGCGATTGTTTGTCTACACATATTTTGTGCACAAAATATTAGAAATACTAATTTTACTATTAATAACACTATTGGTCATTCTGTCATTTGTAACATAAGTATTTTACATAAGAAAAGGCTTCGGATTTTCAGTGTTTGTGTTTTCTGTATTACCCACCATGCCCACTGTACGTGTTGCCAATCCGTGAAGATATAATAACGACAAAACGATAGAGTAAAACTGAACGGGAACGAAATTATTGAATTATATAAACCAAACTGTTCTATTTGTATGTGTATTTTAAATTTGACAAACGTAAAATAAAATAATAGGAATCTATATAAATATTGATAAAAGAAATTGTCCTACTTTGAATATACATTAATATGTTAATCTAATCTCTATGTTTCAATATTGGTTGTATTCTGAGCAACAAGGATTAATAATTATGTCGTTGTTATGTAAGCATTGCTATAATGTATCACAACCTGAGAAATAACAATTGAAAGTTAACAAGTTTTACTTCGCCCGAGTATCTTATTTTAAAGTTACATTTTGTTTAATAGTAGTCCTTTTTTACAGATTTAATACCTTCATAACAACATACTGGTAAATACGTGTTTGTGTTCATTGGGGTTTAACCATAAGACCAATGACACGTATATTGTGTAAACGTTATGATGTAAAAAATTTAACATAATTGCATAAAGGTAGGTATCAAAATTACTTTTTCCATTTCACTGAACACTTGCCGTGTGTGGCAAGTATATATTTGTATAAATTATATGTTGGCAGCCAAACCAATACTTACTCCGTCCAATGTTTCACTTTCCACGTATGCCTGAAAATAACTGATAACAATGATGATGATCAATGATAATAATGATGATCATACTGATTATGAAGATGAAGGAGGCATCCTATCGTTTTCATTGCTCATTATACCCAATACACTTTTGTGCACATATTTTATGTAGACATTACATGATTTTTATGGCCGCTGTAGACTTCAATTGTTTGTCTATCTTACTGATAATTTGTATCTACGTGAGGAAAGGGTATAGAAAACTGTCGACTCAGTATTTTTAATTTTCGACCAGGTTGATAGAGAACTAGTTTTTATACACTGAAAACATTTCTTTCCATAAGGAACTATGTTTTGTTTTGTTTTTTACAAAAAGTACATCACATCAAATCGAGATGAGATTAGTGTCTTAAGAACCGAGCAATCAAATTTTTCTCACCTCTTGTA